CCCAGGCAGGCCTCTCCTCCCCTGGCTAAGGCCAGCGCCCCACCCCCCAGCCCCTCCTCTGCAGCCCTGGACTCTTTCTCCAGGACCTTCGTCTCCTTCCCTGTCTCCTCCTCTGGCTCCTCTCATAAACTCCTCTCTTTGCAGAATCGTCCCTCCCAAGTAGAGGGTTATTGATCAACTCATCTGCACTTTCATTAAACCAGTCTCCCTGGGCACCACCTCCGTGCTGGGCCCTGAGCTGGGTGCTGGGGACAGAGGGCTGTCTGGGGGGCACAGAGCCCAGGCTCAGGAGGACGAAGCTGCCTGTGACAGGGCAGGCCAGGAGCTAGGACGGGCTGGGTGTTCAGGGGAGGCCCCCGGGAGGAGGCGGCTGGGTCAGGGAGGACAGGGAGGCTCAGAGAGCTGGCGCTCCAGGTGGGGGGGAGGAGGCACCCACCCCCTGCCTCAGCCCAGACCCCCCCTTCCCCCCAGGAGAGTGTGAACCGGCTGCACGCACAGATGCAGACCTTCGTGTCTGAGAGCCAGCGGGCCGCTGAGCTGGAGGAGAAGCGGCGCTACCGGTTCCTGGCCGAGAAGCACCTGCTGCTTTCCAATACGTTTCTGCAGTTTTTCGGTCGGGTGAGCTGGGCTGGGAGGGTGAGCTGGGCTGGGACAGCATTGGAGCCCCCGGGGCTGTGCTCTCGTGCTGGCTGCACACAGGAACCGCCCTCCTTCCTCCTTTGCTTTCTCTTTTCCTCCGTAGCTATTTATTTTCTCTCTCCATCTATTTCTTTTTTACTTATTTCTGTGTTTATTTGTACCATCAGATAGATATTCATGCATTTATTCACTCATAGTTTTGTTTATTCTCACATCATTCACTAATTCATGCATTTATTCATTAGTGTATGAACCAGTTACTTTTTCATTCCTGCTTGCATATACTTCCCATTCACAAATTCATTGATTCATAGGTTTATTCAGTTATCGTCTATTAATTTTATCCAATACTTTAAACCCTCTATGCTTTGCTATTTGCTAAGACCAATCAGGTTTTTTTTCATTTCTCATTGTGTTTCTAATGGGTTTCGCTTTCTGTATTTTGCTGCCATGTTGGTCAGTGCTGTTGGGTTTATGAGTGTTATACCTTCTGAGTTAGTGTTGTCATTTAGGTTCTCACTGTCTCTCATAATCCAGTCTGAAACTTTTAATTCCACTTCGTCTGAAATTAATATTGCCCTTCCTACTTTCTCTTCTCTCATCCATTTTTAAAAATATTTTTTTATTGATTTCAGAGAGAAAGGGAGAGGGAGAGAGAGATAGAAATGATGAGAGAGAATCATTGATCAGCTGCCTCCTGCATGCCCCACACAGGGGGTTTGAGCCCACAACCCGGGCATGTGCTCTGACCGGGAATCAAACCCTGACCTCCTGGTTCATAGGTCAATGCTCAACCACTGAGCCATGCCAGCTGGACTCATCTGTTCGTTTTAGGTGTGTTTTCTGTTACTAACATGTAGCTCAGTTTTTATGCTTGACCCGTCTGACATCTGTCTTCTCATAGAGGAATTCGGTCTATTCCTCTTAACCTGACAACTGATATACCTGTTTTATTGTTTTCGGATAAGTTCACTTAACTGTATTTACTTTGTCATTTCTTCTTTTTCTCCCATTCTTGTTTATGTCATTTGATTGAGTTACTATACATTTCCCTTCCCCTTTATTAATTTGGAAATTCTACTGTTCTTATCTCTACTCATGATGACCACACTTTGTGACCCTCATAATCACATATATTTACCTATCATCTTTTTTAAAAATATATTTTTATTGATTTCAGAGTAGAAGGGAGAGGGAGGGAGGGAGAGATAGAAACATCAATGATGAGAGAGAATCGTTGATCGGCTGCCTCCTGCACTGGGGATCGAGCCTGCAACCCGGGCATGTGCCCTGACTGGGAATTGAACCTTGACTTCCTGGTTCATGGGTCGACGTTCAACCAGCTGAGCACACCCTAGTGTCGCCCTAGTGAGTGTGAAGGGCTGTCGTGTTGTGGTTTTGACTTGCATTTCCCGGATGACTAGTGATGCTGAACATCTCTTCATGTGCTTATTGGCCACCATGTCTTCTTTGGAAGGAAACTCCTTTCTGCCTGTGTCCTAACAGTTAACCTCCAGCGGACCCCTCCCTGGCTGCCTCCTGCGGGGTGGTCTCCCAGCAGGGGCCTGGGCTGGTTGAGCCTGACTTCCCCGAGGTATGGGGAATGGGCAGCATTGCCTGGCCCAGCTGGGCTTGAGGACATACAAGATCTAACTCCTCAGCTAGTTCACCATAAACATTTACCTGTTACTATGGCAAATGCACGAGATTCAGCACAAGATGCAGAGAACTGTGACTCCTGGCACAGGGAGGCATCCTTCTCGCCATCAGCCCTTGCTTAGTCCGGGTCTCCTCAATAGCGCCTCCCCCGCTGCAGCGCCTCCCAGTGGGTCGCACTATGCAAGCGCATCTCCAGGGCAAATCCCCAGGAATGAAGTTTGAGAGTCCACAGATGTAGGCATTGGTTATACCAAGTCACACCAAGTCACACTTCCACCAGCAATGTGTGCGAGTCCCTGCTTCCTGGACAACAGCGTGAGCCAATTTTCTGATCTTTGCTCATCAGAAAGGTAAAAAGAAGTGTTTTTTACATTCTCCCATGATCCTCTGTGGCTTGAAGGACTGTACGGGTTCCTTCCCAGCCGGGGGCGATGCTGCCCCAAGGCAGGGCTGGGGGAAGCCAGCGATGCTGAGTGCTGCCCGGGCTGGGACGTGTGGTGGCCATCACTCCAGAAGCCCCTGCTGCCCTGGCAGGCGCTCTCCACTGAATAGTGTCAAACTAGACAACAACAACAAAAACTTTAAAAAATGTGGTCTGCAGGACCTCCTGGTCTTGCTGTGCTCACTGCCTCCGAAACAAGCTCACAGAGACCTTTGTTGTATGGGGTTCGCTAATGACTATGCAAGGCAACAGGGAGACCGCCCCTCCTGACCAGCTCCTGGCTGCTCCTGTGACGTGAGGCTCTGAGCCTGTTTGCTGCCGGAGAGCACGCTGAGGTTCCCAGCAGCTGAGCCAGGGCGAAGGGAGTGGTCACCGAAGGGCAGCAAGCCCCCTCCAGGCTGGTGCCGGCCACTTCCCTGCTGCCAGGACGCCAGGCCTGGAGCCATGGCCAACTGCTCCGACCCTCAGCATCTTTCTCTATAGGATGGAGAAAGACTCGCACATACCCCCCAGAGCCATTGTGAGAATCAAGTAAGAATAATGCAGGCGAAGCCTTTAACACTAGGCCTGGCAGAGTACATATTCAACAAAAGGAAGCTTTCATTACTCCTCAGGTGACAGTCTGGAGCTTGGCCGATCCCTAGGGGACGGAACGCTTGACTAAAGAGAGGAGTTCGTCTGGCAGGGCTCAGGGGCTGAGCATAGATCCATGAACCAGGAGGTCACAGTTCGATTCCTGGTCAGGGCACAGGCCCCGGTTGTGGGCTCAATCCCGGGGGGGGGGGGGGCTGCAGGAGGCAGCTGATCAATGATTCTCTCTCATCATTGACGTTTTTATCTCTCTCTCCCTCTCTCTCTGAAATCAATAAAAACATTTAAAAAAGAAAAAGTGAAAAATTTAAAATTGGAGAACTGTTTTGATTTAATTTATAGAGGTGACTGGGTGACAGCACAGACAGATTAATACCATTGAAGACAGTTTTATTACATATCGCAGTTCCCAAAACAAGGGTCATGCCACCCAGGGCCACCTGGGGAGGCACCAGGGGTTGGTCAAGAGGCAGGGGGAGCGAGAGGAAATCATGGCCCAGAAATGTACTATGGTTCCCATGGAAGGAGGGGCAAACCAGGAGAGGTAACTTGAAGCAGGTTTGGGATTGAGTAGTTTGTGGGCTCTGTGGCATAGGGTGGGGTCTGTCTGTCTGGTACCTGGCTCTGGGGTGATTTAGGGCAGGGGAAATATTGGCTTGATGGGTGAGTTAAAGGAAGTGGTTGGGGATGCAGCTTTGGATTGTTGGTTTGCATACAAAAGGCCTGTTCAGGGGCAAGTTGTTTAGGATCCCTAGGGATTATCTACACCACGGGAGGGGCAGCCTCTCCAGGAATAGCAAGACCTCGGGATGTCAAAGAATCATAACATACAGAAAATTTAAAACATGATTAATATACATTGCAGGTCTAACATTGAAAGCCCTCCTACCCCAAGCTGTTGTGGTCAGCTGCTGAGTGTGTGCCCTTGAAAGTGTCAAACAGAGTTCAATGCCCCTGTATTGGGGACCCTGGAAAAGGGGTGCCATGTGACTACAGGGGTGCACTGGGAACGGTGTTTGAAAGGCCTCTTTAGAACACTGCTCCCACGGGCTCAAACAGGAAGGTGCTTATTTAGTGACTGGGACGTTCAAGGGTTCGGGTATAGCTGGGCCCAGGAGCACAGCCCGTCATCAGAAATTCGCCTTTGTCTGCTGCCGAGCTGTAGTTTCCTGTGTTGGCTTCACTCTACCTGTTAGCAAACCCCACGAGGCGAAAGGATACATTTCTCCAGGTTGTTTCAGGGTGAGCACTGGGGTTGAATTCTTTGGTCACAGTTTTGGGGTAAGTGCCATCCCTGTGGCCAGCCTGGGTGCTGCCCTCCTGCCGCGGGGCAGTGGGAGAACTCCGCCCAGAGCACACAGAGAGGGGCAGGGGGCCTGAGGGGCCTTTGACAAAAGTGGGGGTGCTTGGACCGTGGGCGGACTCAACGTGACACCAGCGTGATCTTTAGCTCCCGGCAGCTACCAAAGCTCTGCGTCTCCAGGATCCTGGGGGGCGCTCGGACCCGGGTGACCGCGTGTTCTCACCCACCAGGCCCGGGGGACGCTCCAGAACCGCGTGCTGCTGTGGAAGGAGCAGTCGGAGGCCAGCCGC